TGAGCCACCGCGCCCGGCCCAAACAAGTTATTTTTAAAACCAATAAAGAACAGCAAAATAGAATTTGTTCTTTTCTCCCCTTCATGGTTAGGTAGCCTGTACCAGTTCATAGACCTAAAAAACTTTCCTTAAAAACAACCTGAGAACTAAAAGTAAGCAGAAAAAACATAGAAATGTGAAATTCTTTACTCTGTACTTTCAATATAGAAAGCAAAAACCTAATTAAGCCAAGAAGTGGGTTAACTGTCGTAGAGGAAAGATCAGGGCAGCTTGTATGGTGTAAAGAATCCTTAACCCTTCTCCATGGAGACAGAGGAAATTTGTTGAGAATATGTGGTGTATGCTCTGAGTTAATATATTATGTGTTTGGAAGATTTTAAATAGAAATGAACTTGGCCACTACACCATGTATCTTTACCCGTTTCGGTAGTAATGTGATGAATGATCTGAGTGTGGAAATTAGAGCTGGCTGCCTAATAGGAAAAAAATTGTTTAAATTTGGATTTTCCTTGTGTGTGTTTGTGCTTTTAATTGGATTTTAATTAGAGTTGTAAACCTTGTATAAATGTACACGTTGTTTATCAGAATGTAAAAGAAAACCCAAAGGGTTAGAAAGGGGTTGTTTTGCATTAAAAATACAAAATTACGTATTTTAAAAATAGAATTGGCTCCTGCTATGAAGGTGTAAGAAGGCTTTATCTTAGATGCTGTTGTCTCCCATATAAGCTAAGGTGAACAATAGGTCATCCCTTGCCCTTTAAGGAATTTATCTAGCGAGGAGATTAAGGCATCGTATGAAGGTTCTCTAGAGAAACAGATCCAATAGTGAGTAGTGCAAGAATGTATGTGTATATGTGTATACCTGTATGTATGTATGTGTGAGAGGGGATTTATTAGGGGAATTGGCTTATGTAATTATGGAGGCTGAAAAGTCCCACAATAGGCCATCCACAAGCTGGAGAACCAGGGACAGTGATGGTGTCACACTCTCAGTCGGAAGCAGAAGGCCTAAGAACCCAGAGGGGTGCCACTGGGGCAATTTCTGGAGTTCAAAGGCTGGAGAACCTGGAGTTCTGATATCTGAGGATAGGAGAGGTATCCCAACTCCAGAAGAGAGAGAGAGTGAATTCACCTTTCCTTCTGCCTTTTTGTTCTTTTGGGCCCCCACAACCTATTGGATGGTGCCTGTCTCTGTTGAGGGTGGATCTCTCTCTACTCAGCCTACATGCCAATCTCTTCTGGAAACATCCTTGCAGATACACCCAGAAATAATGCTTTGCCAGCTATCTAGGTATTCTTTAATGCAGTCAAGTTGACACCTAAAGTTAACCATCAACAGACATGTACACAACAATAGTGTAGCTTAGAATGTAGTAAGTATCATAAATGAGGAACACAGTGTTTTTTGAAAGTAGGGTGTTTGTTGAAATGCTAATTGATGACTCAATGCAAATTATTTGTTTTACTGTGTACACGATGAATTCTATGCTTTTGTCTTTTCATATAGTCTGTAGTGGTTTCCTACCTATTGTTAGAAAATATGTTGACATGCCTAGTTTGACTTCGTATAAAATAGTAATGAATTTGAATAATAATTAATATTTTAGAAAATTCATTTTATCTATGGTGTTTCTACTAATGATAACTTTTCTTTCTCCTCAAAAGTTTTTTAATCAGGTTCTGATGCTTGGGAAAACATCTATCAGCGATTTGTCAGAGCATGTCTTTGATTTAATTTTGGAGCTCTACAATATTGATAGTCATTTGCTGCTCTCTGTTTTACCCCAGCTTGAATTTAAATTAAAGGTAATATATTGTGAAAATAATGATTCTGTCAACCAAGTTAGCAAAGAGCATTATTTATGACTTTCTAATTCTTACACTAGTTTTTACTGAAGGTAACAGATGAGGGGATCTATTATCATTGTTTATTCACATGTTTGTGCCTTGCCTGTCTGTGTATCTCCAATGCCTGGTGGATAGTAGCTGCTTAAATGGTTATTAACAGGATGATATTTTTCCTCTAAATATTTTCCAGATAAATTCTGCAATTTGACTAACTTTTGAGGGTCATAGCCATACATCAAGCTTATTATGTTTTCAAGGCACAAGTTACAGCAATTCCCTTAACTACGTCATCAGGCCATAAAAGTACAGTTCATTATCCACCTAGTGTAAAATGCTTTACCTTTGTGTGTATTGTCTTATATAATAGTTACCTATGATGAAAGTTCATTTGCTTTTTACATAGTTCTGTGAAATCTTGCGTAGCATGCCCCTCTTGCTTTGACATTAAATTATGCCGTAAAATTGAGTTTCATTTACAGAAGTGGGGAATATGCTTTTCTTTTTCAAATCATTACATGGAGAGTAAAGAAAGCTGGTTATAATTATTAATCTTTGATGGATCCCAGTGTACCACCCAGAAAATTTCTTAAG